GTCTTGAACAGGAGCGCTTCACAAAAATGAACCAAAACTCAGCAAATACATGTCTCACAGACATGATAAATATATCTATAGAAAGCTTTAAATTACTAAACGAAATAAAACAAATCAAAAACAAAAACTCTAAAGGCGCGTTTAATGAGGAGATGGCGAGTCAGGATCGGCAACTTCATCCTTGCGACACCGACTCAGAAAACACTAGTTTATTAGTAAATAATTCAAATATCTCCTTACTATTTCCCCCGACACATTCATGGTAATTACTTTTGCCGGTGCTTTGCGGCAAGCTTAAGCCTATTGCTTGCATTTGAACGCAGAACTGTTCAGCTGCGCTGACGGCACGCACCATACATACTGCTGCTGCGGGACACTAAACACCGTTGAGCCGCTCTTGACAGTCGCGGTAGCACAGTCTCGTGTTGTTTCCACCAGCGAAGCAATTTTTTCATCACTAGCCTAATTGATGGATGTCTAAAATATAAAAATAAGGAGAAGCCTCAAACAGGCCCGAAATGCAGGGCTCTAGGTCTTTTAATGGAGAATGTCATTTTTTTTAATTGCTCATTGTGACTCGTTTTGTCAGCACAGGTCACATTATTCTCAGGAGGAAGCACATGTGGAGGCGGTAAATGACAACAACGCATGCGCGATGTTTCAGATGGTAGTGTAAAGACATGAATCGGATATGGGTCACAATTGAAAGAACGTGTAAACGGACAGCCAAAAAAATCGGATATAGGCAAGTGTAAACGAGATCTACACTGCAGATGTAGACCTGCAGCGTAAACGAGGCCTAAGAGACTTGCATACCTCAATATCAAAGTCCACTTCTCCTGGCTCACGGATTCTGTGAGGGTCGCTGCATGGTTTGGCCCGAGGTAGTTTCCTTGGTAGACCTTTATGAGACCATTGAGCGAAGTATTAGTCCGCACCAACATATTACTGTTATTAAATTTAAAAGTAAGTCTTAAGGGTTTTGAATGATATAAAGGTGAGTAAATGATGCAGAAACAAAGAAATCATGAAAGCATAATCAATAAATGGGAGAAATCTTTTACCAGCTAATTTCTTCTTGCTAGGTAGAGACGGTCTACGGCGAGGTGGAGGGGTTTCATCAATCTGAAGCTCGTCTTCTGAGTCAAAGTCAGACAAAGTAGCCATGTGGGTCTGGAACTGTTGAAGTGAACTCCCGGCTCCATTTGCACTGCCAGCACGACCCTTCTTCCTAAGAGAGGAAGAAGAAGAGGTATTAAAAATAAGTGTCATCACATTACATTAAGAACTCTTTTCAGGGAAATGGGTGAAGATAACGGTTTTACCCTTGTATCTTTCCATTAGTCAGCACAAGCTTAAGCTTGCTCTTGTTGATCTTCTCTTCAAAATCTTCTAGACAGTCATTAGGCAGCTCAAGCTGAAAAGCCAAATTATATTCTTTACAATGATGATATTAGGCAAAAGTATAACATAACAGCACTAGTTTTTCTCATGTTCAAAAGAACAGCATTTATTCAAAATAGAAATCTTTTGTAACATTAAATGTCTTTCTGTCACTTTTGATCAACTGGATGCATGTTTACTGAATAACATTATTACTTTCTTTAAAACAAAAAAAAATCATACTGACCCCAAACTTTTGAATGATAATTTTATAAACATAATAATGGTTAATAAATGTATTGTAAACTCTACCTTGCTCTTTTTTACTTTGCACCCTGGCTGGAACTTCTTGAGCGTGTGTTTAGTATGAATCTCCAGCAGGTCCAGCTCTCCAGCTTCTGTTTTTATCTCTTTGCCTTTTTGGCTTTTTTTCTTAGCTCCTGGAAGGCCTACACCCCCTCCTCCAAATCCATCCTTCGGCTTGGGACCTCTCTTTTTACCGGGGTGCTGGCCAAAAGTGAGGGATGTGTTTAATGGAGCTTTGGGGTGAGGAGAGGGAAGACCCTGAGAGCCACCAAATGGTGTCCCACTCCTGCCGATGTTCTGCTGGAAGATATCCTGCAAAAGAGACACAAATTCATATGCAAGACAAAAATTACTTGATTTTTTTCTTTGAAATCTAACCCAGAGCTACTCTCACCTCAACTAGGCGTATCTCCTTGGCCAGATCCTTCACTAGCTGCTGGGTCTTTATAGTCTCTGGTATCTCTTGTTCATGTTCAGCCAGGGACTGAGAAGGGGGGAAAAATAAATTAAAAACAAATAATTATATATATACATTTATTTATTTATATATTTATATATATATATATTCACAAAACAACAAATATAAACTCTGTCTCATCACTGCAATGAAGCAATTTATGATGGTAGACAACAATGTAAAGACAAATATTTGAAATCTTTAGCATACCATTCAAGATAGATATAAAATATCTCAAATTCTTCTATGTTTTTTAGCCTTTTGACAAAATTCTATATAAATCTAATATTCAAAAGGGTGTTTTTTTCCCAATAAATTTAAAAACATTTCAGTCAAACCAATTACATAGTAATACATGTATTAAAAATTACAAGTAAAACTGTAAAATCTGGGTTGCCAATTACTTTTTCACTAAATGAACACAAGGAAAATATATTTCATTATTTTCATTTACATTCTCCAATTAACAGCAATATTAAATCAACCTATATTTACATGAGGTTTTTAGTGAACATTTTAGAGTAATGATGCAAATGAATTACTGAATTACAGTTTTGAATAAACTCACTGAAACACTTTTAACTGATTCAAGGAAATGAAAATCAACTGAATGTTTTTTTCCACTTGACTTTAAATATACAAATATATCATATATACTAGGGCTTGCATAGACTAGTCGAGTAGTCGAGTGATCGACTACTTCAACCACTAGTCAGCACTGTCGGAAAGAATCGACTACTCGAGCATGCATTAACCTTAAGTTTGCAAGTACAACGTGAATTTTAGGATTACAATTTTGCGTGTAGCTGTTACTTTCTATGACTTTATCTATGTTGCATGTAAAATTAAAATATGTAATGTAATAATTAGGGGTGTGCCCGAAGCCGAATACCTTATTCGGAATGGCACGGATAATGGCTTCAAAAACGAATAACGGACAAGGAATAATTCTGCCTGAAAATTCGGCTGAGGCTGCCACAGTCTGGTGTTTGCTAGATAACAGTTGAGCCAGGGGATCAGCGCAATATTATACACAGACCTCTAAAGTCACGCAATAGAGTGTGAAGTGAATGAATGTAAACTTTATGAATGAAAAGAGCGCAAATCAAACACCGCATTGCTGTTGCCTCTCCGTGCATCTTGGAAATCAGAGCTTGGCAAGAGCAATATCACCTATAATAATACATCATACACATTCTATTATTTGTATATATTTAAACGGCAATGATTTAAACCTTATATGATATGATATGAATGAATGGAATAAGCACAGCGCGCTCACCAATCAAACAGCCGCGTTGCCATCTCTGTGTGTCTCAGTCTCTCAAAAACCAAACCAGCTCTCTCTCAAGAGTAGGCTAATAATCAACTTAGATACAGATACATGTTCTACTAGGCCTACATGTTTTCTTTTAACACGGCATACTTGTTCAGTGATAACTATGAAAAAAAAGATAGTCATAACGGTCTTATCAAGTAACTGTACGATGTTCCACCTGGTTTTATCTGAACGCAGATACGAATAATTTTGTGATTGTTACAGATACAAATACAGATACAAATATTGGCTGTTACATGAAAATTAAAATATGTAATGTCATAATTATAATGTTTTGACAATTTACATATGTAATTGTTGCATGAGGCTATGAATTAATAAGTGTTATTGATAATAACTATTTCATGTCTTTTCATTTACAGTAGCATGAACCACGAGTAACTCGAGTATTTTTTAAATAAGAAATCGACTATCAGAAATCAGTAGTCGTGCAACCCCTAATATATACCCTATTAATCACCACTCCTACATATAACATAATTAAACTTACTTCCTTCCGTGTCCAGCTGCGGAAAGCATTATTGAGAGCTTTGGCTCCATGGACCAAGTATGTGGCAGGATGCCGTCGATTCTCTCTTAGACCTAAAGCAGATTGGAAAAACAGAAAAATTAAAGTACATGAAAGAATGCTGTACTAAAACAAAAATAAGCAGTAAAAAAAGAGAGCCATTTGCTTTATGAGGAGAAACCTCACCTCTGAAGGTGTCCAGCAGGTGCTTGCCAACATACCAGCACACGGTCTCAAAGTTTGGAAACCTGAACAAGTCTGCTGTGCTCAGTCGCTTTTCTATTTCATACGCTCTGATAGAAAAAAAGAAAAGAATGACCAATGAAAAAGCCCAGTACAATACAATACTATTAAGGAGACAAACAGAAGCATCATCTCACCGAAGCTGCATGTCAATGTTGAGGCTGTGTAGAAAATTTCCCCCAAATGCCAAACAGTCCACAGGGGTCAGAACAGCATGAATCCACCCTGACAGCAGATAATTATCGCACAAAGAATCACCATTATTGATCTAATTGTAATTTCTCAGTCACATGAGATATCAAAACATCTAACTCCTGGCAGAAACAGAGATAGTACCTGTTGGGATGAAGAGGGTGTTTCCTTGCTTTAGTGAACATTTGTAGCACATGTCTACCTGGTCCCCAAAGAACAGCTCATTCTGATTGGAGGATGAACTCCAGCGCTCAAAAAGCGACAGGTTAGCAGCAGTGGGACGAATGAGGTAAAAGATCTTCTCACCCTGACATGTATAAAAAGAAATACATAAGACCACTTTCGTCTGGAGGACAAAGCATGATGCTTTCTGAAGTAATGAAATACAGAGTCATTCTCTGCTTTCTCTACTATTTTCCACTGCATGACTTATAGAAAACAACTAACCCGGAGTACATGGTACCACACAGAAGTTCCACCAAAGTCAATGTGAAAGTCTGTGTAACTGTCCTTCACTCCCATCAGGCAGTATTTCTGCACATTAGGCCTCTCAAAAATAGACTCCTCAGGCCAGAGGTTCTCCACCCATGACAGCTTCCTCACAATCTTTGGTGTCTCCACTAGATTTGACAACCTACCAAAGGGGACAAAGAATATAAGACAGTTTGCAAGGTTAAATCCTCTTAGAAAAGTTGCACCTTCGAACCCCTTTGAAGTTGTTATGTAACGGAAATAGAAACAAATCTTTTCTTCTGTATTGTGACATACATTTAAGTGAAACCGATTATCAAGAAAAATGCAGGGCAAGGACTTAATTAATCGATTGGTTGTTGAATGGACAGAAGCAGATCTGAACTCTAGCTTGTGGTTGATTGTAAGAAAAGGGCAGGGTTTATGGATGATTCAATCACAATAAGATCAACAAAGGGTGAATTTTCATTTCATGATGACTTCAAAGCACCACTGCTACAGTCGTACACATTCAGATGGACATTTGTAGATGTGACTTTGCACCTGGTGTCTGAGAACTCTAAGCTGATCACATTGAGCACTCTGTCTCTGTTTGGGCTGTTGTAGTACTCGACAAACTCTCCCAGTTTCATCTTCAGGTCTGCTTGGCGGCTGACATCAATCACATCAATTTCCTTGTCAGAACCTATAAAGCAATAGTAAAACATTACATTCCCATCTAAAAATAACTTTTCACAAACATACTACTGAAAAAGTAGCATAGCATGGCAATGCAGATGTGATTAGAGTTATTTACCAATATAATGCTCTATATCTGACACAGAGAAAGATGATGGGGGCAAATTCATGCCCAGACCATCCTTCCTGAGGACCAGGACTGGGACGCTAAAGGAGCGCTCCTCTAGAAACTCAACCGTGAGCTGGGTCCCAGTCGGCTTCAGCAGGACTTCATCAGCACTTAAACACAAACAAATAAAATGTCAAATACGTTTTCCAGCATACTCATCATCTTTCAAACAACTTTTAAAAATCCAATAACACCACAGATTGCTAGCCAAAGCTGAATGGTGTGAATCATATATTAACAGCAATTATTATATGATGCAATCAAACTTATAGCAAAAACACATGAAGTCAGAGTTATCCCAGCACTCTTAAGATAGTGATTTTTTTTATGAAAATAAAACAAATCTTTCAGAAAAAAAAATGCATTTCATCTACAAATCAACAAAATGCCAGTTATTATGCAGTATTATGCAGTATGCACTTACTGACAGAGGGTCCATGTGTCACCTGGCAGTTAGGACAGTGATACAGGTCAATATCTGCCGCTTTGTCTTCCTCCACACCAACACAACTACAAGAAGAAGAAAAAATTACAATTGCTAACAAATAACATCATATACACCATAAAGGTGATTTCAATTTGGCTTTCAATTATAATTTACAAAATGCAACTTCACCTGCCATGAAACCAGTCCTGACAAACATCACACTCAATCATGAACCGGGTGACATCGTAAGGGAGACGGCATAGGCAGTAAACTGGAACAGATGCCATTGTAAAGTCTCTGGCCAAATATGTCAACGTAAAAAAAAGTCTTGTAATATGGTATTGCTTCTGTTTGGGGACCACAGTTCACTTAGTTGCCTATGTCGAGAGTCAGCTTCACTTCAGAGTGGTTCACCAATCAGCTTGCAATGCTGTCAAGACTGCTGTATTCACAGTAGAGTGTTGTATAAGAAGTATGCTGGCAGTGACAACAGCTCTCAGTCAATCGTAGATGAGAAATGCGTCGCTACTACGACCACTGCAGTCAAACCGGGGACTAGGTGGATACCATGGTTCGGCACCTGGTTGACAGAGTGGAGGACAATTAGCTGAGAAAAATGAATTATGATCATTCACAAACTGCAATGAAAATAACACTACATGCACTCTAAACTACAATTTGTTTTTATGTCTGTCCAATAGGATCAGTCAGCAGTTACCCGCTTCATTTGGTTAGCTTAAGTTCTACATCCATGCACCTGCCGCCTTTATTATGGTCAAGAGACTCCATCGAAGCAAGTTTCTATTCATTCTAACATAAGACTTCATACAATAAAGACAAAAGCACGAAAACTGTTATTATTATATATTTTAAGATCAAATTATTAAACATCATCCCTAAACCATCTGTGCCTAGACTATATGGTCCTGTCCTGATATTCATTTACTTCGGGTTAGATCTAGAGAGGTTTTTGAGATGCGAGTCACTTTTATACACATTTATGCATTATAGTTGTATAAACCGCACATTTATGAAAGCGACCCCTTAAAAGTAATTCATAATCATATAAATAAAGTAATAACATAAACAGTAACTACTCATCTTTGTGTTTATACTTAATTCACATAGCTCAGAGCTGCAGAGTTTACACTTGGACAATGCTAAGTATAAAAGCTATTATATGCAATGCACAATTAATTTCACTGTGTCCACTGGATTTGTTAATTTAAAAAGAAATGTTTTTGATTTAGCAACGGGGTCTGTGATAGCAGAAAACTGTTTGTTGAACCATAAGAGCTAGTTGCTAGCTTAGCTGCTAATAACATAGCATGCTCGTCAACGTCTAACTACGTGAATCTGCCTAATCTTTGTGTTTACAATCCAACAACGATACGTTACTGAGCAAGCTCACTAATCTTAACTCAAATGTAGCTAAAATATGAAACATGGAGGTTGGGATCATACGACCCATAGCAAAACAAAAGAACTTGTTGCAGCGCGCGCTGTTTCGAACGGCGCTAACGGGTCTTACCGGGTGAGAAAAGCCGCGAGTATCCCGTGGGCCGCGCGCAACATGCCGGACAAAATATTAGGAAACTCCGAGGCCTGAGCGGCCTGCTTTACAAACAACAAGATGTTTTCTAAAAACCGTACACTTCTTCCGTTATTACGTATTTAACAGAGGAGAGTGAATAAACAAATCTGGCAAGATCTCGAAAGAATACAGTCCACAGCTGAAAAGCAAAGATTTTATGAAATTCATAACGCAGCGATTTCCCGTGCTATAGATCCATCCCAATGCGCCGTGCAGCGACCACTGTCTGCGGGAGAGGGAACAATAAAATTGCTTCGTATGTCGGTATGGACGGCAGAGACTTCAGATGAGCATGTATACTCCAAAACACTATTTCATAGCCACTATACTCACTATAAGATTGACTTTAGCAGTGGTTCTTGTACATTAACCAAATGTAACACCATGGATAGCTCCTCATCACACATGGTTAGCTCAATGTATCTAGTTTCTTTAAAAAAAAAAAAGCTTTGTTATCAAAAAAATAGCCTAAAATATAGAAATAACTGTTTGTTTGTTTGTTTGTTTATAACAATGCAAAGCTCCTCACTTCATGTAAGTTCAACAAAGCTTATAAAGCAAAAAAAAATCTGTTTAATACAAAATAAATAGCCTACACAAATGTAGAAACTGTACAAATCCCAGGGTTTGTTTATCTGAATCTGACTGTATGAATCTACTACGTTACTGGCAAAGTTTTTACTGCAGTTTCCATAGTTTTATTGCTATTACTTTGTTTACATATAGTCAGGGCTCCAGACTCATTCCTCCCACTGGTCGCTATTTTGCAACTAACTTTCACAGCTGGTCGCACGAGCATGTGATTTGGTCGCAATATTTATTTATTTTTTGCGCTACAACATGGGATTATTCAATGCATGCTGATGAACTTTTATCATAGTTTATAGTTATATGGAAACGAAAGTGGTTAACATTCAACACGTTCTTTATCATCAGTAGTATTATTTGTGATTTGAATTTTGTGAATGGGAGTTTCTCTTTCGCTGTGTTAAGCCGCGGGCTTCGGATGCTTTCACTTTCGACTTCGCGATCTTTTTGTCACTGTTTTGCATACATCTACACACCTTTCATTTTTTAAGACTAAAACAAAAGATGGATTCATTTGTTATTCTTAATCAAAAAGCACAACAACAATAAATCAGTAAGATACAATGACAAACTAGCTTACAATACGTTTATTAACAAAAACGAATAAGATGAGGCATGGCACACACCACATGCTGTATTATATACCGACTAATAAATTACAGAACGCTTAGCAAACACTGAGGAATCAAATAAATAAATAAATAAAAGAGAGCCTCCATAGCCTAATGTGAGGTAAACAGCAAAGACAACAAGTTTTTCAAAAATGAAAACAAAAAGAAAAGTAAAACTATTGGTGACAGTGCTTGCACTACATTGGGTAAAGCCAAGGTAAGTTTTCTGAAGGGCTGTTATATCCTGTCTTCAGTAAAGCTCAATGCATGCGGTAGTTACTACGTGGTAGATTTTAAGCAAAATAGAGCAAAATAAATATGAGCCCATTGAGGAGTGGCTTGCTTTGTTGGAGACGAGTAATTTCTGGCAATATTGTCGGCTTGATTGCACAAACACTATTGGAAGAGAGGTAAACTGGATGATGGCATCACTGAATCAACAATGAACTGACTTTAACTTAAAAATTGACTGTTTTGTTATTGTCCTCTTGCATTATTGGAAAACTATTTTCCTGTTTGTCACTGCAAAGCTGCTTTGACACACTCTGTATTGTATAAAGCGTTATATTAATAAAAGTGACTTGACTTGACTTGGAAGACGGACGTAACGCTACGTTTGGTTGTCCAGCAGATGGAGACATCAGCTAAATGATGAAGGATGTTGCGAAAACGTCAATCTTCATCGGTTCGAGTTTATTTGGTACTGTACAGTTATAATGGTCACTTTGAGGGTATACAGACAAAGATTTAAACTGACAGTAATAATAACCACTTAATAATCACTTACATTTCCCTGGTATATTATCACACCACATTTTGACCCATTTCAGTGGACTTCTTGGTTATGAATAAGCTTTTATTTATTTTTTTGTGTTTTTCCCTGTTTGAATAAGCAAGCATTCTTTTGTCATTGTTGTTTTTGTTATTTTACTTTTTTGAGTGTTTGATACAGTTTGAATAAGAAAAACTAGCCTACTTATTATTTATTAGAATAATTATACAATTTTTTGTATTTTTATATTGTATATATTTTTTTGTATCATTTTTTATACAATTATTATTATACAATGTTTTCTTTTTTAGTGTTTATTTAGTGTTTTAGTGATTATTATTGTTATTATTATTTTACATTTTTGCATTTGCTACTACTACTACTACTACTACTTTTAATAATAACAACAACAACTTTTTTTTAATGTTTGCTACTTTTAAAATTTTGGAGGAAGTAATCAAATATTCAAGATAAGGGGGGGGAAAAAACAATTGTCATTGAAAAGCCATATTGATCAGCCACTAATCTGAAGTCGATGTGTTCCCTTCAATGTTTCTGGCTACAGCCCTGCCTCACTCCAAATGTAACATTATTGTGTTCAAGTGTGTGTGTACTTGCTTGTTCATGCTTGACAATCCATGTAGTCATTTCAACTTTTTGAGAACCTTCCCAAAGTGAAAAAAACTCTCATTATGCCCGTGTGCTATGACTGAATATCAGACCCCTAAATAATCAGCTGTACGCCATCCAGCTCCTGATTTCTCCAGTCCTGCTTCTTAGCCTCATTGCTGGTGGTCATGGCCTGGCTTCAGTGGTCGCCGCTCCCATCACAGATTGATGAATTGATTGCAGCATTGCTGCCAGTGAGTCTGTGCCCTGGGCTAGGGCGCCCCGGTTACGGGAGGGAATCCCAGCTATGGCACCCGCCATGGTGCCGCTATTATGAACGGCCTGCAGGGGGCCATTGGGGCTGGCAACCCAGGGAGCAGCCCTGATCCACATACTGCTGTCATGCCCCTGGAGACACACACTGTGAGGGCAGGCAGGGAGGTGTGTGGGATTTGCCACAGAATAAGGGAGTGAGGTACTGGGCATCTTGCTAAACAAACAGACTTCCCTTCTTATTATTTCTAGGCTTTTCTGAGTCTAAGAGCCGTAAGTGTTCACACAGAGCAGATGAAGTGCTTTCAGTACACTCTATGAAATTTTCACAAACCACACAAAGATAAGATTTATCACATTCTGTGGTGTCTGATAAAAGTTATCAGAATGCAGAAACAAATGTTATAATTGCACACCAAACCGCTGAATGACTGAAGCGACTAAGCCATGTGTGTAAACCGAATTCTGGAAGAAAAAAAAAAGATTCCAGAATGGAAGCAATTATAGTAGATGAACTTCATCAGGCATGTGGGTTCATTTTTGTTATAAAGACTTGGCTGGTTCTGAAAGACTTGAGTGGTTTTGTTGTGTTACGTGTTGTTTTTCCCATAATTTTTACTTTGTGGAGCACAAGCACCTGTCATATACATAAATACTTCTGACTTTGATTTAAGGGAATCAGTGTTGTTATTGTTAGCCAAAACGAAACTGTTAAAATCATCATCAAAATTATATATAATTATCAGGCCTATATGTAAAAAATGTTTAGAACTAAAATAATTTAGAAAAGATTTAAAGAAAAAAAAACTGACATTTTGCTTTGGCAAGCTGAAATAATTT